GTATTTTTGTTATGCGTTTTTTGCAACTGTGCAATGCAGAAAACGCATATTGACGAGGGATTGTCTATGTGTCTGTGTGTGCGTATTTTCATCTCAAGACCTACAAAAGCTACAGGGCTGAAACTTTGGGAACTTAATCCTCATGCGCGTATGAGTCTCAGTCCCCAAAATGGGCGCCATTACTCACGTGGTACCTACGTAAGAGCCCGCCGAAGTTTTTTACGACTAAGTTCATAACTCGGGGATCTGAGAAGCTACAAAAGCTGAGATGTTAAGAGGATGCTCCCCGTCGAAGTAGGTATTAATGAGCTCAAACCCATCCCCCGGGTAAACGTGGTATTCGCATACGGGCCGGCCAAAATTTTTTTCGAGTAAGTTCATAACTCGGAGATCTGAGGAACTACAATACTGAAATCTTAGAGTGATGTTCCCCGTCCAACTAGCTATTAATGAGCTCAAACCCATCCCCCGAGTAAGCGTGGTACCTGCGTACGGGCCTGCCAAAATTTTTTCGGGTAAGTTCAGAACTCGGGGATCTGCGAAGGTAGAAAACTGAATTCTTAAGGGATTTTCCTCGTCCGAGTGGGTATTAATGAGCTCAAACCCATTTCTCGGGTGAGCGTGGTGCCTACGTACGAGTCCGCCAAAGTTTTCGGACAAGTTGATAACTCGAGTACCTGAAGAAATAAAGGATTGTAATTTTAACAGGTTATTCTCCGTCCACCAAAATCTCATACAGCTCAAACCCAGCCCTCGAGTTTACGTGGTACCCGAGCACGGACTCACCAAAATTTTTCTCGGGTAAGTTGCTAACTTGAGAACCTGAAAAGCTAGAAGACTGTAGTTTTAAGAGGATGTTCCCCGTCCCCGTAAGTCATCGAGCTGAAACCCGGACATCGGGTATGCCTGGTATCCACGTACGGGCCCGCGAAATTTTTTTCAAGTAATTTTCTAACTCAGGAACTAGGAAAGCTAGAAAGCTGAAATTTTAAGGGAGTGCTTCCTGACATTTCTGGCGGGCAGTCTTAATTTGTTTAGCTGGAAGCATTTGCCGAAATAACCGGTGCCGGCAGCGACAAAAACTGCGGGGAGCTATGCAAAAAATGCATCTTCGCATGGGCAGCCCGTGCGTTGGCCAATTATTGCCTCTTACGTTGTGCTTCTGCTGTTGAGCGGCATTTTTTGTTTGCTTCTTCTGCTTCTGTTTCATGTGACAGTGCCCTGTTATTCAGTGTACACTTAGAGTCAGTCATATCTGATGTACCAGGACTCTCCGGGCATTCATTGTAGCTGTCCTGTGCTTGTGATGTTACTGGGATGTTTTCACATGCTAGCCACGCAGTTATGCAAGGACCCGTTCGTCGTGTTTGCGTTGCTGTTTATTCGATGTTTGTGTGCCGAGCGTGTTCAGCGGTGATTCTCGAGCTGTCGTTTACTGCTTTGTTATTGTTATTTGTTATTAGCACCTGGGTGCTGTACTTGACGAATGTTCTGCTTAAAACAGTCTCTAAAATGGTACTTACATTGTTCAGAACAGTTTACCGGGATGGCCACTGAGACGAGTAATGGCGCTTTTGTTGATGAGGAGAAGAAACCGTCCAAAAAGGAACTCAATAAGCTGGCAAGGCAGATGAAGAAAGCGGAAAAGAAGGCCGAGGTATGTGAGTTACTTACCTCGGCTCTATGCAGTTTACGTAAAATTGCTAAACAAACGGAGGCATCTTCTCCGAAGATGTGTAGAGGTGAAATTTTTTCAAGAAAAATGCTTGAGATTTAGGGACACTGAATGCACATAAAAATGCTGCGTTAAGATGTGGGGGTGGATAGATCGATTTTGAGTGCTTCCCGTCCTACAGGCTGTTCTTCTGGATCTGCTAATGCTGAGTTATTTAGCATGCAGCTGGGCATAATGTGGAGAATGAGCAGGACGCTGAATTGGATGTATCCAAGGGCCATTATGGCTCGTACGGATTGATACAGTCTGCTGAACGGAAACATGTTGATTTCGTCGATGTGAAAGATATAACGCCGAAGCTGCAGGAACAACAGGTCTGTCTTACTCGATCC